TTTTTTGGGTTTTTTTTTTTTTTTTTTTTTTTTTGCTGTTCCTCATCCTAGTGCTATCAATCAACTGTTTCCTCTGCTTTGAATGCCTCCCTATGAGCCCCCAGCCCCCCAACTCATCTTTCAGTATTTACTACCTATCACCTACTCCACAAAGCCTCTTATCCTTCCCTCAGCAGCTAATGCTACACACACCTTGGGCTTCTATTATACTCCACATTTCAGCTCCTGCAACATTTCGCTGTACTTTTCAAGTTTAGGCTTGACTGTCTTCCCAACTGCTAAACTTAAATTCCTTGAGGGAAGGAACATATTTTACCAGTCTCCCTATACGTAGCACTGAGTTCAGTACAAGTCAAGTAATTGGGGTTCATAGTTGGTAAAATGAACAAATAAAGACATAGGGACTTGTGCTTAATTTCTTGTTAAAATGATAGGGCAGTTGTCTTTGCAACAAAGCCCGTTCATATTGTAGTTCTGGATCAAGATTTCCTCATTTTTGCTACAACCTCCAAAGAGCAAAACTTAGCAGCTTGAAGTGTAAAGAGGTATCAGCTTTTGGTCTTTCAGCAAAGGGACTCAGTTCAGGTAGCAATATGGTAGCACCCCCTTCCCTGTTTCAGGAAGTCACCTGGGAAAGAGGAGAAGACAAATTCCAGAGGTACCCATAAGCAGGTGAGATAAATCAGAAACACATCATTCAGACTCTAATAGCAAAGAAAATCTCACTTGATAACTATTGGTAGCTATGAATTGGGGAGAAAGAGAAATTTCTTTTCCCTGGCTAATGTCAAGGAGGCTGCCAATGGGAACCTAGTAAAAACAAAGGAGTGTGAAATAACTGGTGAGGTTACTTGGTTTCTGTGGCCTACTCCAATATTCCGAAATAGCCACTGACTCACTGCTCTCCTGAGATACTACTTGGAGGTGGGGATCGGGGGAGTCATGCTTAACGGGCTCCTCACTAACACATTGAAACTTCATAGATTCAGCTTACATATGTGAATGACTTAATTTTTAGGGAGTCTGATATACCTTTTTTACAACCCTAACCTCATCTGCCTTCACCATGATTAAAAACAGTTAACGCAGCATCCAAGATACTTTGACAGACTCTGCCAACTGTCAGTTTCAGCTGTTCTTTTTGTTTCCACATAGTTCACAAACTATTACAGGAGCCACAGACTATCTTTCTGCCTAAACAAATCATTTCTTATTAAAAATAACTCCTTTCGCTCACATTTTGTCCCAAGATGTGCATTATATTCATAATTACAGTGAAGATAAATTCTCATTACAACCTAACATTAGTCGAAAACGTACTCACAAATTGCAAAACTCTTCGCTCACAATATTAAATTTTGGATACCTGTCAGAGTAAGGTAATTGTCTGGGTGAACCGTTAAAGGCCATTACGACTCCGTTTTCTGTTGTTTTAAATAGCTCTAGGCAGCCATGCTCACTGCAAATTCATTAAGGACAGTCTATAAAAATGTGGAAACTTCCACCAAGTGCCCTGGCTGTACACTGTTCTTTTCTATTCCCACATACCTTTCCTGTCCTAACAATTTAGATGAAACAAATCACCATCAGTGAGAAAAGGTCATAGCCCCAAATACATACATCCAGAATAAAAGCTGACCAACACTAGCTTCTTTTCCTCTTCCATCTACCTTGATAACTTTATTAATAAAAGGGCAATACATACATTAATAAGCAAATTTAATTATGCTATATGTTTACATATGTATGATGTGCAGGCACAATGGGTCGTAAATACTGGCCCCCTTTAGTATTAAGGCCATCCCAAGTTTCCCTTGGTAAAACGATGGGCATCTGTGCAGCTTCAAAGCTGTGAAAAACTGATTTTCTTCCATGATGCGTCCCCTCTACAGTCTAAAGATAATACGGTCTTGGACATAAAAATCTGCCGCTTGGCTGGTTTTTCTCAAACATGCTTTAAACAGGGGAGCTGCAGATGCTCGGGGGAAGCCATATTTCAAAGGCTTTGAATTGTAGTATTTTTCAGTCTTCTCTCCCATTTAAAATTGGTACAATTTACCTGAAACATTTTTCAAATGCCATTATTCTCCAGCTTAAGTACTTAAACTGCTTAGAGAAAGAAAAAAAAAAAAATCTCTAGCTGCAAGATCTACTTCCAGAAACCAACTAGTAATCATTCAACCAGGAAGGAGAAAAAGAAAAGAATTGACTTTTATAGATAAAAAAAAAAAAAAAAAAAAAAACTTTAAAAGTTTATGTCATCTAACTCCTTCATTTAACAGATTAGGAAAGCGAGTCCATAGAGGTTAATTTGTCTCAGATCACTAAGCTACTAATAGCAACACTAGAAATAGAATGAGGTATTTTAATTACTCTTAGCAGTACCCAAAATCATGCAAGCTATATATATTATCACTTAAGGTTTAAAAACAATTATCATTTTCTCATAATTCCCAAGGAAGAACTCCTACTACACATATTCTAAATGTGCAAAGTTTATTCGAGTTAATAAACTTCAAATTCTAACTCTCACAAAAGGAAGCTACTATCCAAGAACCCTTCTCCAAGAGTTTCAAAAAATGTATGCACGTCCCTAAACCATCACAATGAATTTGAGAGTTCATTTTTTTGTAATCCTATCCCTCGATTACACATGTGTTCGTTCAAACCACAAAGGGAGAAAATTCTGGAAGTTCCCCTTTGGCGGTGAAAGCATCAATGATCGGTCAGTGAAATGAATAGCTCATTGCTCCAGTAATACATGATGGGTTTCCAGCTTAAAGTAGGAAGAACCACTAGCATTTTATCAAGCTACAGTGAGAAGAGTTAATAAAAGGTGAGAAAATGCATCTTGATTGGCTTTGGCTCTGAAAGAAGGTGAAGATCTGATATTGTTAATGAACTAAAGAGCTGAGCTTAAAAGAGAAAAACAGAAAAAGTGAACAAGTTCCTTCAACAAAGTCTTTTCCTAATGGAGCTCTGATCTCCTCCAAGTACACTCGCGCGGTAGAGACTCATCAATAAGACTTTCAGATTTTCATTTCAATGCCCCAATAAATCTATTCTACACATTGAAGCTCTGGATACTCAAGGGCAAAACAGAGGGCACGCTGAGGGCAACAATTTACGTTGGATCATGTTCAAGGACTGTAGTCCTACCACTCATTACAATCGTTCCTTTGTGTAACCAATTATTTTTAAAGTACTGAGAGAAGGTAGTACTTCTCTTTTGAAAGATACCAGCAAAAAAACCTAACATAGCATGATTTTGGTTTCAAATTTATGCAGCAGTTTGACCAGTAAAGTGTAGAATGTGCTGACTCTGTAAGTATTACTAATAAAACTATTAATATATTCAGGCTACAAACTATATTCATATGTTCCTTATTTTGACATCTGGTGTCACTCTAACAACAACAGAAAAACAAACCAAAAACAAAAAACTTGTTACAAGGTTAGCACACCTACATTTTTAAGGTACGATCAGCTTAGCAAGGTGTAAAAATTTATTTGACAGCACAAACACAATTACCACCACCGCTCAATAGCACACATATATCAACAGATACGAAGCTGTGTCAAGCACAAAAATCCTTACCCCATTTTGCCCAATGAAAACTTGCTCTGAAGTTTCTGCTCGTATGCTACGGAATAACTTCCAAAGCAATTTCTCCGGCTGCTCTTTCGCAGTAGCTTTTCCACCCCCAGATCCTTTTCCGGAGGTATTTCAAAGATGATGCTGACAATTCAATTAGTTCTCTTAGGTAAAATAATTTCTCTCTCGTAAATACCAAAACGTTCGAACAAAGGTGGCATTTGCTTATTAGAGTTAAAATGCTCCGCGGAGGAGATAACAGTCAACTCTATTCCACAAAACGAGTCTACATGGAGGAAAACGCAGAAACCAGCTTCACGGAGTCCTATAAAAAATGAGTTCGCTGGTCATTTCGCTCATGTCCTCCTCGATACTCAGGGAGAGCCAGGTAGCTCGGCCTTTCGGTGCTAAGGCTGCGGGTTCAAATTTCTCCACCACACCAGGTCCCTGGGGGTGGAGCGTGCAACCCAACGCGACGTGCACTTTAATAAAAATCCTAAACGCAGTAATGCCACTGCTTCCCTGCAGTTACATTAAGGGAAAAAAAAAACTATATAGAAAAATCTCCTCTAAGTGCAAACCCAGCAGCTCGCGACGTGCACGGCACTCCACATGGGAATCTGTCGTTTAAATTTTTCCCCTCCTAAGACTCGGAGCTCAGAGGAGGTGAAGAGGAGGAAGAGAAGGCTGGACAGGATCGATTCATCCTCCCGAGAATAAACGGAGCCATTTCCAGGCTGGCAGCAGGCTGGGGGCGCAGCGCACGCCGGGGAGCAGGGGGAGGGGGCCCGATCCCACCTCCCTCAGCCCCTTCCCGCCCCCCGCAGCCGAGCACAATGGAGCCCGGCTCGCGCCCGGCCCTTCATTCGCAAGTGCCCCCGCTTCCCTCTTCTCCCCGGAGCACAGCGGGTCGGAGGCTCCCGTCGGTGGAGAATGAATGAATCAGAGAGCCAAGCCCCACGCTTTCCCCGGCACCCTGCCCCCAGCTCCGGGGCGGCCGAGCAGCGGGGCGGACTAGGCTGAAGGATGCACGGGCGTCCGCCCGAGCCGAGGCGGGGGGGTAACCCCGC